TAACACTGCTACTTGCAAAGAAAGAAAAACAGCCTTCCATTAGCTGCTGCTCCAGCTCGGGAGAGGCCAGTTCAATCAAAAACCACTTCAGCTAAGGGAGGACCGGGTGGCACAGAGCAGCACTCTCCCTGATCCTAATTTCCTTTTCCTTTTCAGTTTCTCCTTTATTTAAGAATCTTTTCCTCGGAAATGACTAACTAGTGTCACTGTCCTTTATCCAGGGACTTTCTCAACAAATGCATCCAAGGCTTTGAGCAAAAAGGCCGCTGCCCATCTAAATGATGTGGGCTTTTGCAATGATGGGGTGCAGAGATGCTGCCCCTAAATCTGGCACTTTGGACACTGAGAAAACAGCAGAAGCAGAAGGCCACCTTCCCTTCCACCTTTCCCTCCCCCTTCATCTCTGCAGCAGGCCATAAAACCTAGCAAGGTCACTCTCTTATCTTCTCCCTGCCTTCTCCCCTAAAGACCTTACCCTGCCCCTTAAGAGCTAGAAAGGTGGCCTTGAACTCCCTTTCCATAGCTTGCCCTGCCCAGGGTTTCTTTTTTTTTTTATTTTCGACAGCAGTGCATTACAGAACCTGCCTAGTATTTCTTTGCCTTCTTAGGAAGAGAAGCAGAGTTTACCATCTCACTGCAGCAGGGCCGAGTTACAATAGGGGCTGTGGAGTAGACTGCTGGGGTTGGAATGTAAATTCAACATCTGTGTGAACCTGGGTCAGTTAGGTGACCTCTCTGTGCCTCAGTTTCCTCACCCTTAAAATGAGGATAAAGGTGTATACCTCATTAAATTGTTGTGAGGACTAAATGAAGTTGTGAGCAAATGGTTTAAAAAGTACTTAGAGGGTTTAAAAGTACTTAGAGAAGCATGTGACAAGTGTCCTGCCCCATAACCAGGGAGGGAAGAAATGTCACACAGAAACATCAAGAAGAATGGGAGCCAGTAGTCCTCGCTAGGTTCCCCCAGAGTTTATTCCCATTAAACCGTGCCCCTTTGTCCTCCAATCATACTTTAGTATAAATAGACATAGATTTCTTCATTTCTGTGGGTCTTCATTTCTGAAGGCTCCTGTGTCACATAAAACTTACATTAAATAAATTCGTTATGGCTTTCCCCTGTTAATCTGTCTGGTGTTGTAGGGGTATCGGCCATGAACCTACAGATGGGCGAGGAAAAGATATTGCCCTTTCTGCCCTATGCAAGGTGTGCCTGCTGCCCTCTCCCGGAAAGCCAGAATCAAGACTTCCTGGGTTCCTGGGACAGGCTTCAAGCCATGCTTGATGCCAGGGGAAGAAAAGACATGGCCCCTGCGCTCAGGAGCTCACAGGCAAGTGTGGGGGCTGTGGAGGGACGTAACTAACACACAGGAAGAAATGCAAGAAAACAAATGCTTTAGGGCTGGGAGAAGGGAGTTAATGAAGGCTGTGGTGTGGGGAGGCTTCCAGGAGGAGCGAAATTTCATCTGAGTCTCCAGGGCCTCCTCATTCATTCATCTGCAGCTTCCTGAATGTATTCCATATGCCCGCCCTGGGGAAGTAGCATCGAATGGAATGGAGCAAAATCCCTGCCATCTTGGTAGAGAGTGAGACAATAAGAAAACTACAGAACAAATTGGAAGGCAGTGAGTGCAATGGAGGGAAATAAAACAGGGCATGTGGTGGGGTGGAAAAGGGGTCGCAATGTCAAGTTAATATTTAGGGGTGTCTGAGGAAAGCTTCACTGAGAACATGACCTTTGAGTCAAGATCAGAGGGAGGAGAGGGAGCAAGCCCTGCAGATATCTGAGGGTGTCCTGGGAAGGGGCACAGAGAGGTCAAAGGAACTTCCCTAGAAGTTTCACACACTATACGATGAGTTTGTGGCTGTGGAGAGAGAAATCTGGTCAGTGACTGAGTGCAAAGGATCCCCTTAAACCAGTCTCTCATTTCTGAGAACAGGCCAGTTCAAACAGGGGTGTCTCATTGTAAAAGATGGTGTTGCAGGTGGGATCTCAAAGATAGGCCTCTGTATATGATGCAGGAAAACATCTTTAATAAGAGGCATTTTAGGCCGGCTGCAATGGCTCAAGCCTGTAATCCTAGCACTCTGGGAGGCTGAGGCGGGTGGATTGCTCAAAGTCAGGAGTTCAAGACCAGACTGAGCAAGAGTGAGACTCCCATCTCTACTAAATAGCAAGAAATTATCTGGACAACTAAAAATATATATAGAGAAAATATTAGCCGGGCATGGTAGTGCATGCCTATAGTCCCAGCTACTTGGGAGGCTGAGGCAGTAGGATCGCTTGAGCCCAGGAGTTTGAGGTTGCTGTGAGCTAGGCTGACGCCACGGCACTCTAGCCTGCACAACAGAGCCAGACTCTGTCTCAGAAAAAAAAAAAAAAGAGGCATTTTATGGAAAAACAGAAGAAAAGCAAAGGCCAATGTCTGGAGCAGTCTAAGAACTAATCCTTCTAAAATCTGGAGGGCAGTTAGCTGAGAAGCAATCTGACAGATTTTTCTAGATTATAGTTTACATGTCAAGTTTGTCCAAATATGAGCTGCTGTGGTGGTTTTTCTTCAAAGCCAAGTTGACTAGCTTCAGCTTGTAGGGCCTCAGGAAAAAGGCAGTTTAATTTCAACGAGTCCAAGTCAGAAAAATGGGCAAAAAATTTGGAAACAGTAGTTTGCAGACTTGTAGCCAGGAAAGAATTCAGGATTCAGTCCAAATTGCAGGCAAATAATAAAAACTCAAAAACAGTGGACAGGGATAGAAACTAATATGGGTACACTATAGTTTTCTTCTGAAACATAATTTTTTTCTCTCTAGTTCCCATTTCTACCAAAGAAAAATCATAGTAAGACACATTTATTTGCAACATAAGTTTAGTCTTTGGCCTGATTATATCAAAGTTTAGCAAGAATAGGGATTTATCATATGGGCTCTTGTTTTTTCTTTTTTTTTTGAGACAGAATCTCACTTTGTTGCCCTGGCTAGAGTGCCGTGGCATCAGCCTATCACAGCAAACTCAAACTCCTGGGCTCAAGCAATTCTTCTGCCTCAGCCTCCCGAGTAGCTGGGTCTACAGGCATGTGCCACCATGCCCGGCTAATTTTATCTATATGTTTTCAGTTGGCCAATTAATTTTTTTCTATTTTTATTAGAGATGGGGTCTTGCTCTTGCTCAGAGCTGGTTTTGAACTCCTGACCTTGAGCGATCCGCCCACCTCAGCCTCCCAGAGTGCCAGGATTACAGGTGTGAGCCACCGCAGCCGGCCCATATGGACTCTTTTTTTTTTTGAGACAGAGTCTCCCTTTGTTGCCCAGACTAGAGTGAGTGCCATGGCATCAGCTCACAGCAACCTTAAACTCCTGGGCTCAAGTGATCCTCCTGCCTCAGCCTCCCGAGTAGCTGGGACCACAGGCATGCGCCACCATGCCCAGCTCATTTTTTGTATATATACTTTTAGTTGGCCAATTAATTTCTTTCTATTTTTAGTAGAGACAGGGTCTCGCTCAGGCTGGTTTCGAACTCCTGACCTTGAGCAATCCACCCGCCTCGGCCTCCCAGAGTGCTAGGAGTACAGGTGTGAGCCACTGCGCCCAGCCCCATATGGACTCTTTTTAAGTTGGCTTTTGCTGAAACTTTTCATCAGGAATCTCAAATTTGATTTTTCAAAAGCCTTTTGAGACTAGCAAGCCAAGCCAAGGGTTTGACTCACAGACTGTGTCTGTGACCTGAATGAATTGGGTGAATTCTTCCCTTCTTCAGGTTCCTGGGCCTTCCAGAAAGTGACATTCTTTTATTACTGCAAGGTGTCCAAAATAGAAAGAAACACAGGACCCTCTGGCAGTTGAGCCAGGTGGGGTATGTGGCAGAACTACCCAGAGAGGACTTCATGTTCTAGCCTTCTTCCTAGAAACCTCCCTGATGTCGACCGCCTGAGACCATAAGCCACTGGAATGCCCAGTCTCAGAGCAGAGAGAACATCTTCACTCTCCTGAGACTCCCAGGCCCTAGGCCCAGCTGCCAAGGATTTTCTGCACCTGGACGTGCAAACAAACAAGTGTTATGATTTTCATGTGGACCACATCAGTGTACTCTGCCAGCATGGCGCTGGGGCTTTGTAGGGGCATCAGTGGGGAAAGACAGAGCTTTATACTTGGGGTCAAGCCATGTGCCTTGGATGCTGGCCAAGGCTGCCTGGCAACTGGCTCTGTTCAGTCGGGGAGATTGTGGGAGGCAGATAGGAGGGTGGGATGTGGGGTGCTGTCCTCCACCCAGGATCTGCGGGTTACTTCCTGAGCGCTGTTCCAGCCTTTCTTCCACAAGGATGCCTGGGAAGATTTTATCTAAAAGGAAAACCAGATTTTTTTTTCTAATAGTTAATTTGCTTCCAAGTTTTTATTACCCAGAAGAAAGCATTCCAGTCACCAATCCAAGGTTTGTGTGAGTGTGAAATCAGCAAGGTTGTTGCATAGGTGATGTAATTCCAGCTCAAGGTGAAGAAATTGGGGCCTCAGTTAAGCAGTCTAAGTCTAAGCCTCATCCCAGGGTACTTTAAGCTTTCACTTAGGTTTTTTGAAATACTGTGAATAGCCTGGTAACCCCCTGCCATCCTACTCTAGCCCCTGCCCAGGTTGAGAAGCAGGGCCTCAACTCTAAGAACCGACTCCCGCTCTCAGAGGGCAGCCCTTTGAGCAGGTGTTTTGCTCTCATTCAGGGGTTCCCAGGGGCCACCAACCATCTGCAGTGACTCAGGCTGAGTCCTGACCTGGGCTGTCACATTCCTAGAAATTCTGGCAAGTTCTTCATACACCAGAGGGTGGAGAGTGGGAAGAGCAGGGGGTGTGTACGCATGCAGTGGAGGGCTGGGAGGAGGAAGGGGAATTGGGTTTCCTGAAAAAGCTAATTTTGTGACTAATTATATCTGAAAAGATGTGAAAAGGCCTAGCACCAAAGTGCAACACTCCTCACACCTGCAGGCTACCCAAAGGGTTGTTTTTATAGGAAGAGGAGCAAAACAGTCGCCCCTAGACTTTGTCCTTCTCTGAGAGGGTCCCTGTCCCTCCCTTACTTCCTGTGTGACCTTGGGCACATTACTCAACCTCTGAGAACCTTATTTCCTGACCTGAAAAGCAGTGTTATGAAAATCAAATGAAAAACTTACACAGAGCATTTAGTGGCTGTGACACGTAGCATCCTAGCCCTGGGAGCGCTTCCTGTGTTGTTGACCATAGTCTCTGCCTTTATTATCCATCCCCACTCCTCCCAAGAGGTTGATCTGTGACTCCTGGGTCTGGCCGGGAGCAGTGCTGTCCCACCGGAGCTCCGGCAGGGCAGGGGGGTGCCCCCTCGTTCCAGGGCCTCCATCCCCGTTCTTCCCACTACATGCCCAGTGCTGAATCAACTGGGTGAGGACTCACTGGCTGACCAACCCACATCTTATCTAACAGCATCCGAGTCGTGAGGTTCTCCAGGAACTTTCAGTCTGTTGGCACTGAAGAGGGCGTGCGATTGTAACTGAGAACTCGCCCAGGGGAAGGGCAAAGGGAGACAGACCTTTGGGAGGGCATCGAGTCCCCTCTGGTGCTTCATTTCCTAGGCCCAGAAACTCATTGCTCTGTGCCCAGAAGTGATCAGTCTCTACAGAACGTCTCACGGTCGCCAAGCCCACAAAGATTGATGGGGAAGACAAGCACAAGGAAGGACAAATGGTGACCAGATGTTGCTTGGTGAGCGCTGGACACCGAGTAGGTGAAGAGTGTTTGATGATCCTAGTGGCTGGATCCAGCCCAATACAAGGCCACTGCATTGCACAGCTCGGGGGGGCACCATCCTCAGGTAGACCATGAGAAGGGAGCCCCCCGCCCCCGATTGTGCAAATCACATCACGCCTAGACCACAATCATCTGGGGTGTGTCTGTTGCAGTGTGAGTTTCTGGGCACCAATTCGCCACCTCTGGCTTTGGGCTCAAGTGCTTGCAGGTGTAACCAAGTCTCCAGGTGATTCTCATAGGCTCGGGGAAGTCCCAGGGCCTCAGTTCCTGGGACGCACCTGCAGGGAGCAAGCTGCCAGCTACAGCTTCTGCAGTTCTCTCTCCACGTGCTGCCCTTCCCATGCTTGGATTTCTTCTTTAGGTAAGTCAGTTTTTTCAATGACATTCTTTTGGGCATCTAGGGAGCTATTTAATCCCTAGAAACTATGCCCATGTCTCAGCTCTGTTGTAGTAAGTATTTATCTTACATTTTGGCCTCAGAGGTCAATTTGACTTAGCTAGCAATGGTGAGGACATTTTAAATGTTTTGATCCCGTTAGCTAGAAAGCCTGCCATTTTAAAGTTGCCAGGTGCTCCTCTGTCTGCGTGGCAGTGGGAGGGCCTTGGACTCAACCGGGGGACCTCGGGGCTCCCTTTGTGCACGCCAGTGTAAGGTGAGTAGGTGGCCTTTGTTCTGGTTGAAAGGCTAAGCCAGTGTGTTTGGGGTTTTGTCTGTTTTGCTTTGTCTGACCAGGGTCTGCTCTGCCCCTGTGCTTGGGAGCTTGACTGCTGGTGAGGAAGGAGTGAGTGTGTTTGCATCCGGAGTCTGGGAAGGGTGGCTGTGCTGCCTGGTTTGGGGAAATGGCCCATTTGCACCCGCCATGCTGAGGCTATAGTAACAGTGCCCATGTTGGAGCTGTGCCAGTTTGAGCAATGAATTATAGGGTTACTATTTAGGAGCCTGTTGGGAGCCAGAGGATCAAGATTCTGCACCTTTTCCTTTTGAGGATTGATGTTCTATGAGTAGCTCTGTGGCCTAGGGTACCCTGACTGAGAGTAGAAAATGACACTGGGGACCTGGGAAACTGCTAGAAGGGAATGGGGAGGCTGGACCAGAGACATTGGCCCAATGCCAGTGTGGAGGGGAATCGTTGCGGGCATTATGTGGCCCTGGGGCTGCAGACATCCAGCCCCACAGCCCCCGGCTGTGTGTGTGTATGTACGCATGCAACACGTTTCCACGCCTTTGTGCATTCAGGAATGTTCGTTGTACCTGTGCCGTGCCAGGCCCTGATCAAGCTGGGGGATACAGCAGTGAAAAATATCTAACCTTCCTCACTGAAGCTTATTTTCTAGTGGGGAGAGAAAAACAGTTTTATAAAAAGAAGTGAAATACTGTGTCATATAGAATCAATACAATTGAGGAAAATCAGGGTAAAGAGAATAGCAGATCCTATGTGGAAACTTGAGGCAAAAAATTAAAAAAAAAAAAAAAGACAGGGGCAGTTATTTTATATGGGTTGGTCAGGGAAGGCCTTGCTGATAGAGGGAACAAGAAATATCTTTCCTCATGTGAACTAACATAAAATCTTAAGGGCTCCGCCCCAAGCTGACTGAATGGACCCCGTCTGGGCCAAGGGGACCCCAGAAACACCCTAAAACTGAGTTGCCGGCCATGAGAAGGGAGGTCAGACTTGCCTGTTATGCCCCCCTCCCTTCTCAGAGTCATCCATTGTAACTCATTAACTGGCCTAAGGCTATGCAGGACAAAGCTTGAACCACACCTGCAGGTCCTCAATATACTTGACAGATCACTTGAGTCTGGGTAAATGTCCATGGCTTGTTTCTGATTAACAGACTTCCTTAATTTAAAACATTCCAACCTTTAGACAAAGCTTCATTTTTTAAATCAATTACAACATCAATGTAATTTAATCAATTACAATCAATTACAAATCAAAGAATCTTTAAACCTACCTATAACCTGTAATTCTCTGCTTCGAGATGTCCTATCTTTTCAGGCCAAACCAATGTATGCTTTCCATATATTGATTTATGACCTTAACGTGTAATTCCTGTTTCCCTGAAATATATAAAACCAAACTGTAGCCCAACCATGGGGAGACCACTTGCCCCAGGCTTCCAGGGTGTGGCTCTCCAGACCATGGTCACACACATTGGCTGGTTTATATTTTAACATATAAACACAATGGCTGGTTTATATTTTAACATATATTTTAACTATGCAGAGTTCAGGCCCTTACCACAGTTTCCATCTTGTGGCCCTTTATGAATTTTATAAAGGGCAGTTTCAGTCATGCAAAGTTACTTTTTGTATTTATAGGGAGTTTTGAGCAGAAAAGTAACAATCTAACTTATGTTTGTAATCACTTAAATTTTTTTATTAAGATTTCAACTTATTCAAAAGTAGAGAAAATAGCACAGTGAACTCCCATATACACAGATTCAATAGTTTGCAAGATTTTGTCAGATTTGCTTCATCTATCTCATTTTCTTCTCTGCTCAAGTATTTTAAAAGAAATTTCAGACATCATGTTGTTTTACTCCTACATATTGCAATGTGCATCTCAAAAAAAAGTCATTTTCTTATATAACCATGTTGTCCTTATTTCACCAATAACAAAAGTAATGGTGATTCCTCAGTACCGCATAATAGTCATAACATAAACATGTTTGTTACTTGTTTGTTTACCATTTGATGTATTTTAATTGGGATCCAAACAAGATTCTTAACTGTCTTAAACACATGCTTATTTGTTTGTTTAATATTTGTGTTTTAATCAAGATCCAAACAAGATTCACCCAGTAGATTTGCTTGTTCTGTGACTTAAGTTTGAAACAACGAATTTCGCTTCTGTGTCGAGAACAGGCGGCAGCAGGACAAGGCAGGCAGAGGATCAGTTCAGAGGCCACCACTGTGATCTCTGTTAGGTTTGTTCCGGGTGGAAACCCAAAAATTATCATAAAGCCTGTGAAACAAAAGCCACAGGAGTCTGGAGAGTCCAAGGTTATAAATCTAACTTCAACCACAGGCAGCTGCAGCCACACTGGCATTCCTATCCCCCCTCATAAGGAGAAAGCTACCCCCTCCCCTATCTCTGCAGGTGTTACTCACTTCCCCGGAAAAAACCCAAGGCTTTCCCCTCCCTTGGAGTGGATGCTTTTCCCCCTTCACCCATCTGCACCAGATGCTCAAAATAAACAGCATTTTGCTACACATGAGGCTTCGCGTGTCTCCTTCCTCTCTTCTCCGGACCTAACAATCTCATTAAGAGATGCTGGCAGGTGGAGAAGGTGGTGGAAAGTGGCAGATTCTGAGTATGTTTTGTAGGTGATACTGACATGCATTTATTGATTGGATACGGAATATGAGAGAGAGGGGATCACAGTTTTGGCATAAAGATTTTTTTAAGTGAAAACATTTTGGAATCTTATCTAAACTTCCCTTATCCAACTAAAGCAGAGTCTCCTGAAAATTCAGCTGCTTTTAGCCCTACTCTGAGGGAGTTTCCTGCAAAATCCAGGAAGGAGACAGACTACCCCATCCTATTAGCATCAAAAAAATCCAATAGAACTTTCCATACCGTTGGAGACCATGCAACAAAATACAGATTAAGGAGAGAAAAGCATACAAATTGATTTAATGTAAGTTTTATGTGACATGGCAGCCTTCATAAGGAAATGACCTGAAGCAGTGGTTAAACCTGAGTGTTTTTATGCTAAGTTTGATGAATAGTAGAAAGTTGTGGAAGGATGTGATGGGACAAAGGTGGGAGCTAAGTACAGTAAACTGGAGAAAACTTAGCAAGGCCCGTCTGTTCAGATTCCTGCCCATGTTCTTTCATCTTTGGTGGTGAGGATGCTCCTGTCCTCTGGATAGAGAGAGGTCACCTCTCACATGAGGGTCTTATGACTTGCTTCAGGGGGAAGGTCAGAAAATTCTTGCTGCACGTGCTGTTTCTCAAATTCCTTCAGCTTAAAATATACAATATGCCAGGGTGCCATATTTCAGGGTAGTGTGTCCTGAACCCCATCAATAGTTTCCTACTGAAGCTATAACCTGCCTCCCTCCCTGCCTTTTTGTTAAGTTGGTATATAAATCTTTACCTCCAGGTGTTCAGTGAGTTGCTCATTACCGAGTAACTCCAATGTACAAGTGGACAGAAATGTTGGCTTTTCTCCTATTAATCTGTCTTCAGTTACTCCACAGGTCTCTGACCATTCTTGAACCTAAGTTGATAAAGAAGAAGTTTTTCCTCCCAGCAAAGGAAAATTTCTAAGGTTTTTGGTTTCAATAACTAGAAAAATGGAGTTGCCACTTGCTGAGATAGGGAACCACATGGGAGGGGGGGGATCAGCTTGGGTTATGGGCATTTTTGAGTTTGAGATGTTCGTTAGATGTCTAAGTGGAGTTTGATGTATGTTCAGCAGATGTCAGGAATTCAGAAGAGAGGTCTGAGCTAGGAGTAAGAATGTGGCAGTTGCCAGCACCTGGCTGGTATCAAAAGCACAGTTCTGGATGAGATGACCCGAAGGGATGAAAATGGTTAGAGAACACAATGCCTGAGCCATGGGCTGCTCCATCGTTTAGACCAGGGTAAGCAAACTTTTCCTAGAAAGGGCTAGATAGTAAATATTTTCAGCTTTGCTGGCCATTCATCTACTCAATACTGTCAGCAAAGATGCCATTGACAAGATGTGAGTGAGGGGTTGTGTTCTCATAAAACTTATTTGCTAAAACAAAAGGGCCACGTGGTGGGCTAGATTTGGCATAGATTTCCTACCCCTGCTTTAGAAGACCAGGGGATAAGAAAGAAGGGCCTGTGAGGTAGGGAGAGAACCAAGAGAGGTACCTTAAAAGTCAAAGAAATGTTTGAGAAGGAAGGAGAAACGCTCCGAAGCAAGTTCTCCTGATAGGTCAAGGAAGACAAGGCCTGGGAACAGACTTGAATTTG